TCTGTATTCTCCAATGTAGAACAAAAAACCATTACTTCTCTTTCTACCAAGTACACTTTAGAAATAGCATTTTCTGAATTTTTAAATACCATTTTGAAATAAACAAGTATTTTTTGAAAAACAATACCAACGGTCCCAATCTCCATTCAAATAAAATAGGAGCAAGGGTCACAAATATTTTATATGTGGGCGGTGCCACTTTTTAATGCTTCCCTTCAGTTTTTTTTCAATTACTACGGTAGTGCTTTAAGAACCAAAAACCTTACTAGGAACTAACTAAGCTAGCCTAGATCCGGTGAAGTTAGAGGCCAAGTCTAAAAAACTTTAGCACCATCCCATCTAACATTGGCCTTTTTGTAAGTCAATAAAAAATTATCCTAAAGAACCAATAATACTCAGCCGCCGAGTTGAATCGGCCCAACCAATGACCGGTTCAGTCGACCAAATCGATTCTTAGAACGTTGGACCACGCCACCATGACCGGTTCCGCCGACCAAATCGATTCTTAAAACATTGGACCACGCCACTCTATGCAATCCCCATAGAGCGCAATATTATAACGTAATTTTGCTTGCCATTGCTTTACAGTGAGCCATGGCATCATCAACATGTCAAAAAGTGAAAAGATAGCATGAATAATAATAATACACCGTTGTGAATAATAATATGACCTCTGGGCAAAAAGCAATGCCTCCTTTATGTTCTAACCACACTTGAAACTTTCCAAGCTTCTTAACTGCCAGCATATAGAGCACTAACCCCCCAGATCTATTTAATTATTTATTATTATTATTATTATTATTATTATTATTATTATTTTTTGTGTGATATGTTAAGGGTAGAATGGAGAGTAGGACATTATATTGAGCATCGCCCCTTCCAGCTTTCATTGCCCCAACCCCATTGCCATTCTCCCACCCATTAGAATACAAATATTTGCGATTAATTGGTGAAGCCTTTAAAAAATCAGTCCAAAATATTTTTCACTATTGGGCATATATGTTGCAATACCATCTAGTTTTGGTACAAGGTCCATTGAAAGGTCAAAAATTTAGGGTGTGTTATAAAATTCGAAAAATTTATATTTAAGTTTTAAATGTGGTTAATGACACACACCCGTTAACTTTTTTATATCAAATGTAAATAGTCTTATACAATAATTATTTATTTATTTATTGCTTTTATACTTTTTCCCAACTTTGACTGTGGGTGACTAATTGAGGATCATTGTTGAAATAAAAACAAACCTTGAAAATAGAAAATACTGGATACAATAGTTTCACATCATGAGAAATGACTGGCCATTTTGAAAAGAAAAGTGCAGCCTTTTTAATAATTTATTTTCAAGCATTCTGTTCTCCCGGTAGGAGAATACTCATTTACTCCTTTGGGTAAAATCCAATATAGAATTAACTTTAATCTCAAAATTTGGGGAAATAACTTCTTCAACCCATAGATTAACCTGAATAAATTTTTTTTTTTTCCTAATTGTATCCTCTATGCACTTGAATAAAAATGATATTTTAAGATTGAATGGAGACATCCAATTTTTAGATAGTGAGATCCAAGTGTTAGAAGAATCAAAATTCTATTTTTTTTTTTGAAAAATAATCACCTAATAATTCTTTAGTGTTTTCCAAACTTTCAAATTAAAAAAATTCTTCCAAATAAATGTTCTAACCAAGGGAGTATAAGTGAATTATATTCTCGAGGGAGCATAATATACTTGCCGTATTTTCAAATATTCCCCCACGATTTTTCCTTTTTAAGTTATTTTCATTTTTTTTATTATTTTCCCCTTTATCTCTTTCCTTTTCTTTCTGCCCTTTCTGTTTCATTTTCTGCTCGGACGTTGTTTTCTTGCTGTTATCCATTTCATTATATCCACAATTTGTGAAACGTGACTTCATTTCCAGTTTTACATTCCATTCAGCTAGAAATTTGATAAAAGAGTATAGCAATTTGCCCTTTTCCTATCTTGCATTATTTTTTTTATCATAATCAATCTCTCTACGTCGTTTCGAGTTTCGTGTTTTTTAACCGATGTACTAACTCTACGTCGTTTCGAATTTCGTGTTTTTTTTAACCGATGTATTAAAAATAAATGGTCTCATAGTATACAATCCCTTTATACTTTGATTCAAATTTAAAATTATGATGGAAAGGGTTAATGCTGCGGGACCAATAATTTAGTATACTCCACCCCATATGGAAGTGCATTTAATTGCATTGGAAGTTGGACATCCTAAGTAACACGTTGGATGCATGTCACCTAAGGCTGGTAATGGGTGGGGTGGGCCAGCCCTAAACAAGTATGGCCAGGGTAACGAATTATGGCCCGAGGGTTGGGCTAGGGCGAATGCCAGTGCCTGTTTGGTTCGGTTTAACCCATCCAAGTTCAGCCAAGCCCAACCCTCGTTTTTTACTTTTATTAAATGCACGGCTGAGGGTATTTCAGATATTAAATGAGGCTAGCTTTAGTTGCTTCCTAAGGCTAAAGCCACTTCCCCGCACTTTCCCATTGCTTAGTTTCACAGGAAACCATACTATGTGAGAATAATGGAGTGAGAGGGAACCTGCAACAACTGCACGGGGTTCCATTTTTGTTTGCACCACTGCTTTCGAGGAAGATTTTGAACTAAATAAGAACTGGGTTTTTTTTTTTTCTTGTTGGTTTATACTGTTGTTCTCTTTAGAAGAATAATGATTCAGCTTCTTTTCCTGGTTCTGTTCATGGAGGGGATAGTGGCATTGCTTCTTATGATAAAGATTGGGCCATTGAGGGAGCTTACCATGAAGGGTTTGGACCAGTTGAAGATGGGAAGGGGCCCTGCCACTGTTAAAACGTTAGCCTGCACAATGGCTGTGATCATGGCTTCGAGCATAACCAGCATTCTCAAGATTCAGAATAGGGGACTCAAGATTGGGACTGTTACGCCTATGGACCAGGTGCTATGGAGAACCCACTTGCTGGAGGCTTCTCTCATAGGTATGTTCAAATTTCTCTTATTTAGACTTTATAACAGTATTGATCTTCCCATTTTCTCTGCTTTCAGGCTAAAAGAAAAAGAAAGTATTTTGTTCATTTATTGTTTATTTTATTGGGCTTTTCACTGTTGTGTTGATTTGCTTTTGTGTGCCTTGACTCATAGCTCTCGGGGATTTAGTGGTTACTGTATATATTCAATCGTTTATGCTTGAAATTTGATTGTTGTTTCTATGCCAGCCCTTGTTTTTATTGATTCAAACCATGTCTAGGACTTTGGACTTCAGAAAGGCTTCGGATTAAAGCACGAAACTTCATAGCCAACATTTGGGTTTGGGTTGTCTCTATGAATAATAGCCATTAGCTATTATCTGTGTAGTCAGCTTTGGTTATATTTTTTAATAAGGTTCCCAGTTTTAGGTTAAACCTATATGCAGCACATTTCAGCAGTCCTTATAGTTGAATACATGGATGAATTGGAACTTTGCAGTAAATGTTAATCATATATATGTGGTTGAAGTGATTCATTGCCTTGTATTGAGATCAAAAGGTTCTCTAAAGTAACCACATTTGCGTCCTTTTATGATTATGTATTCATGTATCTTTGTTTGATTCAAATATAATGAAATTAGCACCTTTACCAGAAAGCTGGAATACTTTATTGTATTAGCTACAACCTAGTGGTTTTATTTGCGATGTTCATGGGAAAGCTTTATGTAGTGCTTCCTTTATAACCTAGCTACCGAAAGTAACACAAAAATATTCCTCCAGTTAATGGACTAGTTGCCAAATCAGCAAGATTTTGATCTTATTTTTCCACCCTGGTTGGACCATAGTTAACACAAAAACTTGGTTGGCTACATTTTGTTAATACCAGGCATACAACTTTTGAGTATTGATGTGAATTGATTTCCAGACATTACAAAAATTTCATATCAATGACCATATAATACATACCAACTAACAATGGAAAATTGTAAACATATTAAAAACATACACATGTATAATTTTCATTAGAAGCATATTCTAATACATTAGATATGTGTTCCAACCAATTTTATCCGAATATGGTGAAACTTAACTTCTTCTTTTTAAATCATAATATATGAGTTCTATTGTAGATAAAGTGAGTTACAAACGGTTAATGAGTTCGTAAATTTACACTTGTTTGTAACAATATGCGGGTTCATGAATATGATTTTATGGTCATAGTATGACTGATTTGAAAGTTTGGTTCTAAATAAGATGTGCCAATGCTAGTGTAGCTCCACATTTTCTGAATATTTTTGAACTCTGATATAAATGATTGGAAACTTTTAGACTCGTGCTTACCAATACCTTTACATCCCAGAACTGGTACCTGGCAACTAAGGGTTGGATGCACATTCACCTGCTACTACTTTACAATGTGTACATGCATACAAACACAAAGGTTCATTAAACAATAACACTAGTGGTATTACCCAAAATTTCATAGTTTTATCCAACTTTGACGCACTCAATAATCAAATGTTGTTTATTTCTTATGTGATTTTCGGGAGGATGCTTCTCCTTGTGGTTGCTGGACCCCTTGTATTATCTCTGAACTCTCTATTTTCTGCTGGCAATACCAATCTGATTATCTACCAAACAAACAAATGTGACTTGTTTATTTTCTCGCTTCTCCTTGTTGTTGCTGGACCCCTTATATTATCTCTGAACTCTCTATTTTCTGCTGGCAATACCAATCTGATTATCTACCAAACAAACTAATGTGACTTGTTTATTTTTCTCTGAAGAAACACATATAAACACATGCACAGACACACATTTGTACATACATGCAGACCCGTGTAGACATTTAAGCAGATGATCTTTACTTTCTTTCTGGCTAGCGACAATGCCATAACTTTAGTCCATTTTCACCTCTGGCATTGTTGAAATATATGGATATTATTCCTGAATATGCATGCAAGCCATTAACCATGTATCAGTAAAGTTCTGTATGAATATCAATATCCAAATACTAGTGCTTGTCAATTTCTTTCTTGTAGCAGCTAATGTTTTTCTAATTTCTGTACCAATTATAATGATTCACAGCACTAATTTTTGTTCCAAATATTTAGCTCGTGTGACTTGTGAGAAAGAGTATCTAGAAGGACACTCATATCTTGGCAATTCTGAATTCTCATCAGAAATGGGGCCCAAGATGATTACAAAGACAAGCAGTTCATGATCATGTTGCTCCATGTGTTTGGAAGTTTATATGCTCGTTTGTTTCCATGTGTGCACATATTCTGAGTGTTCAGTAGAGCAATTGTCGTTCTCTGTAAAGATTGTTATGTTATTGAGTGTAATAAGAAGAGGTCATGTGCATGCACATTACCAGGATCGAATAGGTATTTTAAACAAATTTATTATTGATAAAAAAGGTTCATTGTGATAATGAAATTTAGTTACCAGTTAAAGAGAAAAAAAGGATTAACGGGTGTATCCTTCATTTAGAGTTAGAACATGATACATGTAAACCCAAAATCCAAAAAGTTCTATCATAAATAGCCTATATGCTCTCATACAGGAACAACTGATGTTGGTTTTCCTAAGACCTAAAATATCTAAATTAGCTGCCTATAGACTTTGCAACAACCTCCACAGATCGACATCATTATGTCAATTTTGTGACACTCTTTCCACTTGGAAGAGGTAATCTCCACTATTTCTCTCCTTCATTATGAGATCTACATCCTAATGATTGATTGATATACGTGAAAAGTCATGGATCTCTTAGTTCTGTATCCACACGTGAAAGACAAAATTATGTTTTCAAAATCAAATGAAGTTTGAACGGGAGAAGAGGCAGGTTCAGTTCAGCCCTCTTTGACCAATGTTCTAACTTGTCATTAGCTGGATCAGAGAATTGAAAAAACAGTGAAAATCATGTCAACTGGCTGATTCACTTTTTCAGATGGATGCTTTACTGAATCTTCACTTTGCCAGTAAGTTAGATTATACTGGCAATTGGTTCTGAATACTTCTTGGATATCTAGGATAAAGGGTACATGCTAGTAGATTTAAGCCAATCAAGTCCAAGTATTTGAACTGGTCAATAGTCTTATCTAGCTTCTGAGCAATGAGAAGGATTGGTCACAATCTTGACTGCATTCAAATCATGGCCATGGAGTTGCCCCATGGGCTATCAAATCTATGCATAAATCATATAAAGTGTTGTAGTTTCACCTTATACACCACCTTTTACATGATGTGGTGACTGTGCTTTGTCCCTTGATTCCTTTTGAAAGTGTAGTCAAAAGCTTGTAAACATACAATAGTCCTGGCATTGAATTTCATCTACTGTTATGCAGTGTTACATAGACACCAATACAAATCTCAGTGTCTAACACATGTCCGTATGTTTAGTTTGTTGCCCAAAAACCAGCCCAAATCGAGAGAGAGAGAGAGAGAGAGAGAGAGAGAGAGAGAGAGAGAGAGAGAGAGAGAGAGAGTAGTAGTAAGTAAGTAATAAACGTAATAACGTAACGTAACGTAACTAACGTAACGTAACGTAACGTAACTAACGTTAACTTAACGTTAACTTAACGTTAAACGTTAACTT